GTAATTGGTTAAGCTTTACATATGCATGCTATACATATGCTCCTATGCGTCCTTCAATGATTGTGAAGACTTGGCCATAAATGAAGTTCCTTGAGTGGAATAAAGGATGGTTAAATTAATTGATGGGTCGTGGGGTAAGCATGTTGGTAAGGTGGTATCTATGCAAGCTTCTCAAGTAGCACATGTCGTTCATGCATCTTGTGAGATGTACTACTCGGCCAATACATGGACAACATGCAGTCGATGAGTTGGCAAAGCTTATACACTTGGCTAGCATTCATTTGGATAAATGGAGGAGGCTTATACACTTACGATTTGTGTAGTGGATGAGATTGAGAAGAAATTGTCCAAACATCTACTAATTAGCTAGGGTTGCATTACCTTAATTCCTATGTTGTTTTTTCTTGATTTACAACTTTAATCCTGATTAAGTCTTAGTCTTGGACATCTGCTCTGTTTAAAATTCATAGTGCAACACCAAGAAGTCAATAATTATTGTGTAAAGCGTTTGGCTTTTGTTTTATTTATTTATGGATGCAAGTTTTGTCTTCTAGTGAATACATTAATTGGTTTTCTTTGGGATGTAGAATAGTGCAACGACTTTACTGTAAAGCATTTGGTTTTGGTTTTATTTATATATGAATGTGATTTTTGTCTTTTAGTCAATGTGTTAATTGATTTTCCTTTGGGCAGTAGAATAGTGCAGCGATAAATCATTGTGTAAAGAATTTTCCTTTTCTTTTATTTATCCATGTACATATGTTCTCTTAATTTAAACGTTTTGCCAAAATAAATTGTAGAATTCATTGCTTACCTACTTTAGTATAGTCACACACACATATATATATATATATCATGCATCTTGAAATTGTTGAACGATACCACGTCCTGTATTTTTGTTTTAATCATAATATTGTAAGTATTTCATTTTTAAGACCTCTATACCAATAAGAGTGCACGATGAGAGTTTGAAATTGTTGAACGATACCACTTCTTGAATTTTTGTTTTAATCATAATATTGTAAGTATTTCACTTTTAAGACCTCTATACCAACAAGAGTGCACGATGAGAGTTTTTGGCTTTACATTTATATTTATATTTATATTTATATTATATTTATATTTATATTTATATATTAGCCATATCAATAATGGAATTCTCTTTCCTTTAATTGATTGAATATATAGCAATGAATACTATACATATTCGTACGGTTTTACTGCATGCATATCATTTAATATTGATTGTCATCCTAATAATGAATATAAGTTATATTCCTTTAAAATATATATAGATATATTTATATATATCTAAATATATATATATTTATTTATTTATTTTAAGAAATCCCTTTGATTACTTCCTAAATGATGTGTATCTAAATAGCTAATTTTTTCTGCCTACAGGTACCATTTTGTAAAATTATTTTATGTTTCTTGTTCTCTTCAAACGTTTGTCTTACATTTCAGTTTTTTTGATTACTATTTTTTGAATAATCTTATTCATGTTATCATTAATCATTTCAGGAAGTTGATGAGTTTGATAGCTTTTACAAAGGAATAAAAAGGAAGCATGCAGGACTTAGGATATTCTTCTATTTATATTAAGAGAAGTGGAAAGAAGCATGATGGTTGTGGATTATTTTACAAGCATGACTAGTAAGTTTGACTTTTGTGTAGAAATTAAGTGACCTCTAATTTTGCAAACAGCTGTTTATAATGTGCATTTTGCCTAAATTTACAGGACCTGGCTAGTGAGTTGATAGGATTTTTTTTTTTTAAAATAGAGTAAAAAGAACTTTGCTAATCCAAGGGTCCAAAGTATGCGTTTTATTGGTTTATAAAATTGATTTTTTTTTTTATATTGTTGTTATTTAAGAGAGAACTGTAAAAACATTTAATTATATATGTGTGTATATATATGTGTGTATATATATAAGCTTTTAATTATTTCCTATTTCTCATATATCTTATTATGAGTTTTGATATGCATTTAGACAATGGGGCTGATTTTATAATGTTCTAGAGAATAATAATTCAATTTTTATACATATGGTCATTTTTATTTTATTGTTCCTATTTAAACTGTGGTGTTGTTAATATTAATTAGATAAGAAGATCTTCGTATCACGATGTACTGAGGGTTGCAAAAATTCAGAAGGTGTTGGACATAAGTGGAGTTCAAACATATGCGATTAACAGTTTCTATTCTCGAACTTGAGGCCTCAACCAAAATCTGGAAATGGAGTAGCTCATATTTGTGAGATTTGCCGAAGAAACCTCTTGGAACAATTTTGGATCAACACAAGATATATATCTGGCCACGCCTCCTCCACCTGCTTCAAATGCAAGGAGAAGAAAAGGCATTCCTCGTTGGGCTCCATTTTGTTCAATTATGAAGTCAATTTTGCATTGTGTATTGATATGTTAATTGTTATTTGTTAGTTTTTTAAGGTTACAATATATATTTATTATACACCGCTAACTAATTGTATAAGCTTTTTTTAATACTTAGCCTAATATATGATATGGACTTTTGTTCATTTAATATATATATATATTTTTTGGAAAACATTCATTTAATATATTGATTAAGGAGTTTTGATTTTGATATATTGTTTACTTTGACTATATTTTCTCATCAAGTGTAGTGTAAAAAAATAGTATCAATTTTGGAGAGAAATTTAAAAAAAAGTAAATTTTTCGACGGAATTAAATTTTCGTCAAAAAAATTTACATCAATTTTTGATGAAAATTCATTTGTTTCTCGTCGAAACTTTCAACGGAATTTGTTTTTCGTCAAAAATCTTTACATCAGTTTTCGACGGAATCAGTTTTCCGTTGAAAACTATTACAACAATTTTTGACGAAATTTCATTGGTTTTCTGTCAAAAAAATTTGACAGAATCAATTTTTCGTCGAAAACCATTACAACAATTTTCGACGGAATTTCATTGATTTTCGTCGAAAACCATTGCAACAATTTTTGACGGAATTTCATTCATTTTTCTTCGAATTTTTTTTATGGAATTTACTTTTCGTCGAAAATTGAGACAAGATTTTTCGTCGAAATTATTTTTCTGTCAAAACTTCCCACAAAAATTATTCCGTCAAAATTTTTGTTGAAATTTTTCAACGGACTCTGTAACTCCGTCAAAAAAATTGTTACCCACGAAGATAAATTCGACTGCTTCTTTTCCGTCGAAAACATTATTTTCGACGAAATTTTAACCAAAAAAAAACATTTTCTAGTAGTGATTAATTACAAGAAATATTAAACAGCTTTTAAGAACCCATTAATTCCGTCTTGCCCTAACTCCATAAAAGAAATTAGCCTAGCATGTTCATAGAAACTAAAACAAAAGATGAAAAGTAAAGAGAGTTCATGATAAAACTTGATTAATGATGATAAATGATGAAGCCTTGATATGTTATCCTCCTTCTTCTCCAATTCAAAAGCTTTTCCTCTTGCTCCCCAAGAACTCTATGGCCGCAAATAATGAATGGAATAATACTAGGTCGTCCTTTTTAATGAAAATATCCATGGGCTTCCATTTACGACGCTGTCACTCATTCGAGCAAACTCGCGATTTTTCTATTGCTGGGAACAAAAGACAATTTTTTTTTGTTTGGCTATGTGACAAATATCACAAGGATTTATATTGCCAAATGAAGAAATAAAAGCGAACTGTACAGACATTCTATGCAAGATATATGTATATGTTAACTGCTTCTGGATTTATTATTAGTCTTGATTATTTTTTTGATTAAATTTTTGGGGAATTAGGATCAAATATACTAAATTTAGTATTTAGTTATAATCCTCCAATTGCTTGTGTTGCTGAAAATGCAATTAACTACGGAAGAGGTTTCCAATTTTCATATTGAAATATGTTCATTACATCCTGCCTCTGCCTGTAACAGGTCTTCCTTCCCAACGAAAAGATTGAAAACATTAAGTAGCTTCTAGCTTAAAAATAAGAGGATCCAAACAGGCTCTAAGTGTGTAACAAGATAAATGAGTCTCTTTTCTGGTTGTATACAAATTTTACAGATTCCGGAAGAAGAGAAAAATCTCGCTCCTCATGATCGTGTAATCTATGTATATCATTTCACCAAATGCATAGCTCAGAACCAAATGGTAAAATAGTTTTAATTGATGCATTTTTTTGCTTTTGTACATTTTGATGTCTTTGATACTTGGTGCTGACATTACTTACTTGTTTACCAATTCTTTTGTAACTTTGTTTTCCATATAATATGTACAGCTAATTCAGGTCTTTGGGGAACCCTTTTTGTTGGTCATACATGAAGGTGAAACTTGGACAGAATTTAAAGTCCGAATGAAGAAGAAACTTCAAGTTCCCGATGATGAGTTTGCCAAGGTATAATTTCCTGTGTCTTATGCTTCTGCCTTTTCGTGTAATGTTGTTATGAGTGACGGATGTTTCATTGAGTAAATATTGGTTAGTTTACCTAATTTTGAGTATATTTCTTTTTTGTCCAGTGGAAATTTGCTTATGTTCGATTAGGGATTCCTGTGTACCTTGAGGAGAATGACATTGTATCCAGTCGTTTTCAGGTGCATTCATTTACAATTAAAATTCTTTTTTCCTTTTTTTAAATTAAATTGATATTTAGTACCATATTCATATGTTTGAATTCATGTTTACATTGTCCTTTTATGATGGTGATCTTGTGACAGAGAGGAGAATTTTACGGTGCATGGGGACAATATTATCTTGGGTTGGAGCATAATGGCAATGGTCACATTACTAGAGCGAGTGCAGGAGTCTGAAGAGGATGTAGCTGTGTGTATGTGTTAATTGAATTGCAGACGAACTTAAAAGGGCGAGCATTCTAGTTTTTAATATATCCTCGACTCAGAAAATATATCACTAGCGATGATTTAATTATACTAAAACCAGGCACATTCATATTAATATATTTTGTGTGACAAAAACATTTGTCAGCACTATCATTATTGAATAATATAGAGTCTAATCTGCAATGGTCCAGGTCATGTCATTTTCAAAGATCCAATGACATACCTCAATTCGGCCCGGACCCGACCCGAGGGCCAAGAAAGCTCCGTGAGACGGGCTCCAAGAAGATGTGTCCAAATGACATATGGCAACACCATGGTTGATCTTGGCCTTGCTATTCGGATCCAACAAATCCGCTTCATAGACCCGAACCTTTGGAACCGAATGGCAATAATAAAGCAAATAAGGGAACAAGCTCTGATGACAAGAAACAGATTCAGTAACTCTGCCACCGTTGATTCCATTCACCAAACCAACCATCACATTCCCCTTCGATCCATTCACATTCTCTGTGGTCCGAACCGCAACGTTGGGACCCAACACCCCTGTGGCGAAATCCACCATGTCCTCAATGGACCCCACGCACCGCTTGGTTTCACCCTGGCTCGGTTCACTCTCGCACTCACCCACCGACTCCTTAACAATCTTCTCCAGGCTCGAACCAGCACCCACCTTGAAAACCCGGTTCACCTCAGAAACCGTGAACGGTAATTTAGACAGAACAGCCCGGGGTAAAAAGGACCTTTCAGGCATTTTATCTCTAATATCCGGCATAGCCATCACCGTCCCTTGTTTCAGCATAGACTCTCGAAAGAACTTACCCTCCTCAACTCGCTTTTTTACCATACTGCCACTGTCGCTCAGATTATTGTACCTTGAAAACGTAACCCCTTCCTTCGCATACTCTGCAAAAGTGGAGTTGATACGGTAGCTGGCGAACCCTACTCTGTGTCTCTCTGCACCGTTTCCATATCCAGTGAATTTGTCTGAGTTACTGTTATCTGATTGATCATACCCTGTGAAATCCACATTTGCACCGTTCGATCCTTTAGCATAGTTCTGGAACGCGTCACTGCCAGCGTTGGATTCAACTCTGTAAGTATCGAACCTATCAATGGCCTCGCTGCCACCGTCACCGTAGGTCTTGAACGTGTTCGTTGGACCGTTCCCGTGGTTCGCGTAGTTCTTAAAGGTGTCGTTGGCTTTAACACCATCTTTCCCGTAACGGGAGAATCCGGTAACAACGGGGTTTGAGCTTGTGCCGTAGCTTTCGAATGAGTTCTTGGCGTCGTTCCCGCGTTGCCCGTAGCCGGTGAATGCTTGGTCTCCGCTGTTTCCGTTCTCGGAGTATCTAGTGAAGGATTGGCTTCTTCCCTTGGCGGCGTCGGAGTACGAGCTGAATCTGAGTTTGTTGTCGCCGTTGGTTGGCTCGGCGTAGTTGTTGAAGTTGGAGGCTCCGGCGGTGGATCCGGCGGAGTAGTTGTGGAAGCTGTCTTCAATGAAGTTGCCGAAGGAACCGTAACTGAAGAAATCGTCGTTGTGATCGGTGGAGTTTCGGCTGTATTGACGGAAATCGTTGATGGGAATGTTCACGCGCGCGTTGTCTGAGTAGTTCTTGAACGAGTCGAGTCCACCGAGTCGACCCGTTCCGTAGTTGGTGAAGTTTTTGTTGTTGTAGACGGCGAAGTTGGCGTCTTTGTTTGTGTGATTGGCCAAGAGGATATCATCGCTGTCATGGAGGGAACAGAGCAAGTGTGCGGAGATGCAGAAGCGTGTGAGGCGCGTGGAGAGGGTGTGGTTGGCTGCGAGTTTGGAAAAGGTGGCGCATTCCACCGCGCTCAGTGGCGATGCCTTGGAGAGAAGAAACTGTGGTATTGGCAACTTCTTGTTGCTTATCTTGTTTTCCCAGTAACGAATCAAGAAACCCTTTGGTGTGAATGGGTTTTCGCTTTTCTCTCTCGCGCTGTCAATAACCTGCATTGTTAGGTTCAATCATAATTTATTAATTAAAACCATGGAGGACTCAATTATACTGAAAAAAAAATAGCAGTAAAGAAGACTCTAATTACACTGAGAGATGAAAAGAGGAGAAAGAGAAAGAAGTGATTCATGTGGCTCAGTGGTTTGTGCATATTCGTCAACTTTTTCTCTCAATTGCTAGAGAAATATAGAGAGGGAAGAAAGTGGAAGAGATTGAAAATGCTGGTGGATTGAGTTGTGGTTGTTAACAGCTTATACTGTGAAGTATATATTAACACAGTGTAGTGTCTTTGCAACATGTGTGGAAGAATATGATATTGAATGGATCGAGTTAAGCCTGGATTGTTTATTGAGTATATGAATGGTGAATTTTGATATAGATAGCAATGCTATTCATTCAATCAGTCAAAGTTTGAGCAAGAAAAGTTTGACTGGATATTGAAAGAGAGAATGAATAATTGAATACAAATGATGTTTAGCAAAAGTAAGAAAAAAGACAATGGTATATATCATCTATTAATTCTGCTACCCTCTTGTTAATTTGCATGCCTTGAGTATCTGTTTGCCTTTTCTTGTTATTGTTTTGTTTTGTTATGCCAATTAACAATTAACAGCTTGATTTTCTTTTTTTTAGTATTTCTACTAACCGGTTTACTATAGCGGGGGGCGGTTTTTCCAAAAACATAAGCTTCTTACTATAGTGTCAATCGCATTAACATCTTGATTTGTAAAGAGTGTATTATGAGGCTGCTGTTTGCTTTTAACTTCAAGGTCTAGCCGCCATTGAAGTTATTCTGTCCCCCTTTGTTTCTATCCAATCCTCTTATTCATTAATCATTTCCTTTCTGTTATCGTTATCTTGTTATCAGCCATGTGGACGTTCCTTTCACTGGCTGAAAAATGAGAACGGCCATTAACATATAGAACTAGCCCCACCTACATGATAATACATCCGAGAAATTTGTTTGGTAATAAAAACCCAGGAGTTTTAGTGGATACATTGATTTGATTAGACTTGCATTTTGCACTGTGAATTCCATCTTCTATAGTTTTTCTATTCAAACTTCTATATATTTAGATTTTATTTTATTTTTCATATCACTTTTTTTTTGTGAATTTCATATCACTTTTATATTAGTTATTGATATTTAATTTTTTTATTAAAAGCATATATTATTTATGTAATAAATTATTATTTGATAAAAGAATAATCGGTAAATTGTTAAAATTATAAGGAATTAGAGTATAGAGAAAGAAAGTAGTCAAATAATAGGAAATTTTTTTTAACTTAATATAATAAGATATAATACAAAGGGCAATGTTAATCTCATGCAACAAAATTTTTTTGTTATCTTCTATCCATACATCGATACATGTGTCATTTTTTTTTTATGTTTTTTTCTTCTCTTTTCTAATGAGCTCCACTTCAAATTAAGTGCACAGGAGACAAAAAAAAATTTTGCTGTGACATGAGAATACAATTACTCTAATACTATCATGCTGTCTGCAGTATTCAAAGATATCTCCAATTGCCAACACAAATAACATATAATATTAAAAAAAAAATATACATTACTAATTAATATAAAAGCTTCAACTTTTGCATTAGTAACATGCCCCAGGAGGTGGGCTGGGGTCGGCGTCTCGCGACACGATGTCATGGGTGGTGAAGAAAACAAGAATGAACTCAACCCACTATCATCATCGCCGTCATCGCACTTCCTATATCTTACTACTGTGTAGTCTTGTTTGGGGACTACTTCAAGCACGTGGATTCTTAAATACGGTGCTATGTATGGAGCTCAATGCCTCTCTCTTAGATCTTCACTTTACTAGGCAGATTATGCGGGGCTCACATATAACAACTTGAGCTAAAAAATTGTATATTAATGTGTAGACATCATATATATATATATATATATTTTTTTTTTGGAGAATGTCGACATTATATATCCAAAATGATAATATATTATTATCATTGATGTTGAAACTTGTCATTGTCTGTTCGTATAGTGCATACGCTTGCTTGATCCTTATTTCTTTACAATTGTAGCATTTGAATGCATCATTGAGGGTTACTTACTACTTACTTACTACTTTCATAGCTATATATATATATATATATATATATATATATATATATACACACACGTCCGTCAAAATTCTGTTTCCTCGTTAAAGTTGTCTTAAATGTATTATTTTTATTATTATTATCTTGGTACAAAATGTTTCTAAATTATTTTAATACTGATCTGGAATAATATTATAATAACACAAGACTCAAATTAAAAGTCTTTATTACTAAGAAAGATGACAATCAATGAAGACTGCAACCTCATCTCATCAAGCTCCACAATATTAAAAGGCTACATGACAGCAAGCTCCTCAATATTAAAGCAAGCTCTTCAATATTAAATACCATATCCTCTGAATATTTCATCTCCAAGTATACCTCACCATTTGCAAGCTGGTCATTTCTCAAGTTGTTCATCTCTCCACTATAAATACATACATGTTAACACAAAGGTATACATCTTCTTTTACATAATTAAAACCTGCTTGAACTAAATCTGATCTGAGCGTCGGAGTGTCTTGCAGGTACATCCTCACCATGTTTCATTGAAGACCCATGAGTTAAAGCTGCTTCAAGTGCAAGATGTTCTGATCCAAGGCGATTCCAGACCGATTGTGTAGAGGAAGATCACGTGATCAGTCCAGTTGTAAAACCGGTTCTGATCAAATACTATCCCTTCTATTAATAGAATTAATTTTATTAATAAAAAATATTTACTTGTTCATTTGTAATCAAATTAAGACAAAATGTAAACTTTAAGAATAAATTTAAAACTATTGTTTTTCAAGTATTTGACCTCCTTATTACTTCAATTATTCAAGTATAATCGGGGTAATTACAAATTAATGTATATTGAAGGTTTATCACATATAATTTGTCCTTGTTCATCTCAATTAATTTTCTTAAAGACATTGTACGTGTTAATTAAGTTTTTTCATTATTTTGTTGATAATGATTTGATTTTTGTTTATGGATAAGATTACGAGGAAATTTTTAAGTGTTAAGATGGTGTAAAAGCGTAGCATTCTTAGAGGAATGATAGGATAAAAAAGATGTTGACTATTCTGATTTTTGAAAAATGATTTTGGCGGGCTGGTCTAGTGTAGTTGAAAGTAAAGGATGATTATTTCGAGATTTGTATTTTAGATGGTTCATGAGACAACTTTGCAAATTTGGGATGGAAATTGTGATTTTAGATTTAGATTTTTGTTTATGGAATAGTTGAACTTCCCCTCTCTGTTTTTTTTTTAGTGTAGTAGGTAATCAATTTAATAACATTATAGAAGTGTACTTTAAGGTTTTGCATATTAAAACTTTAATTTTTAAATTCATTCCTGTAAGTTTTTATATCAATTTAATACTAAATAAATATATTATATCTCCGTCAACATTTTTTGCTAGTAAAGTTGACTTTATTAATTTTCCCAAAAAAAAAAAAAAGAGTTGACTTTATTAATAAGAAAAGCTCGATGTTAAAATGAATTAGTAAGGTTAAGTTGGAACAAGTTACAAACCCCATAAATATAATAGGATTCTCAATTGTTTCATCCAATGTTATTAGAACCACCGGTCATTGACCCGGTCGAAGTACCGGGTCACTGGATCAATGGTTCAACCGGTGGGTCACTGGTTGAACCGCATGAACCGGGTATATATATAAATTTATATTTTATACTTAATTATATAATAAATATTTTAAAAGGTGCAATTCAAACAATAATCTGATGTAGTCTAGTGGTAATTACTATATTGTCTATCCTCAATGTATGGGGTTCGATTTTTTTTAAATGCAATTTTTGAAATAATTCTATTAACTTAATACTTATATAATAAGTATATTAAATGGTGCATTATACTCACAGGTGATGATAGCGTGGTGGTTCAAAGGTGCGCTTCTCACTTCAAAGGGTTGGGTTCAATTCCCATTTGATCCAAAAATTGGAATATTTTGTAACTTATTTTAGAAAACTGATTTAACGGTCAAACCGGTACCGGTTTACACCGGGTCGAACGCTCAAACGATCCAATACTGAAATCAAACCGGTTGATGGGCCGGTTCCCAGGCCAGCCGGGCCGGGCCGGACCGGTTTTAATAACACTCGTTTCATCCTTTTCTCTCCTAATCCAAATCTTAGGTGAGGAGAAAGGAATTGAATTTCCATTTTTTTTATCTGCCTTTCTTTGGTTAAATTTGATCCGTGTCAATATTAATCAGTTTATATGTAATTGTACTCTGTAGCAAAGGATCACAAATCAATGCATGGGTCAGTAGTGTTATATATAGGCCCAACTCATGTCATCTTTGAATCCATTTATTTTTAATTTTAATGCAGAAGTATGTGCTACTGAAAATTATAGAGCGAATTGAGGTTTGTCATTGGATCTATGAAAATTACATGACCTGGACAATTGCTGATTATTGGAATGGTACGTGTTCATGGTAGAGGGGACAGGCTAAACATGCGCCTAAAAGCCCATTACCTTTTTCCGTGTTTGGGCTAGTATGTCTACTGGACTAGTTATACGCCTTGACTTTTTTTTTTTGGAACATCTTATACGCCTTGACTTAAAACAGGAGGCTAGCTAGCTTTATGGGAGAATAGGAGCCAAAATAAGAAAGTATTATAATTTGTCTAAGGTTTAGTGTTTGTCATTTTAAATGATATAATTTATGTCATTTTAAGAGAGAGACAGACACAGAAAAATGAAAATCATAGGAAAGAGAAAGTGTGTGATTTTTTTTTAATTTAAAATTTAAATAAATTTTTTTTCTATGTCTGTCTCTCTCTTAAAAGGACAGAGTGTTATGTCATTTAAAATGACAAACACTTTTCCCTTTGTCTAATTAAACAAATATATATATATATATATATATATATATATATATATATATATATATATATATAAATATGGGTAAATGATTTCTTCAGTGAATGGAGATAAGTTATCTCCAGTGAGTCCAAAACGACGTCGTTTTGGGACAGAAATCAAGATATTTTTATAATTATAATATATTGCATGATTATATTAGTCTTTATTATTTTAAGTTTTTAATCTTATAACTCCAAAACGACGTCGTTTTGAGCTAACTGTAGATAACTTTATCTCCAGTGACTGGAGAAATACTTTTCCCTATAAATATAGGTTTCGCTGTTTCTAATGTTACTTTAAAATTTTTTATCTAATATTCACCGAAACGACATCATTTTAGGGCCGAAATCATGGTGTATTTGTAATTTTAATTTATTCTTTTTCAACCCCAAAACAACATTGTTTCCGTGAGCATAAGACAGTTTTCTAAAGTAACATTAGATGTTTTATTCCCATAAATATGAACAGAAAAATATTATTTCTATAGTGACTGCAGATAAGTTATTTGCATTTACTCCCATAACGACGTCGTTTTACGGTGAAAGATTAAAAATTATAATGATAAAAACTATTATAATTTTGAAATAAATTAAAATTATAAAAATACCTTGATTTTCGCCCAAGAGATATCACTGCGAAAAAAATGAAGCCAAATATAAAACAATGCGTGTGTATATATATATAGGGTTTGCTTTAACTTATCTATATTAAGTCTAAAATGATATCGTTTTGAGGCGAAAGTCAATGTATTTTTGTAATTATAATTTATTTCAGGATTATAATAATTTTTTTATTATTATTATTTAATTTTTCGACTCAAAATAACATCATTTTATGAGCAAATATAGGTAACTTATCTACATATACAGTAAAAAAGATTAAAGCCATATATATAATTCAAAAAAGACAAGGCTCAATTAAATTAACTTAAAAAATTACAATGAAGTAAACAAAATAAAAAAAATAAAAAAATAAAAAGAATTACCAAAAAAAAAAAACCAAAAAAAAATGGTGAAGCATTGTGACGTGAGGCATAGCTCCTTCACATACTAATAATAATAATAATAATTGTTTTTCTTTTATCAATGGCTAGTGTTTGTGTTTGTTACAACACTCTTCATCCTCTATCTTCTCTCACTTCATCTTCAAGCTTGGTTCACCTTTGTCCATGCTCTTCCACATCTTCTCAGTCACCATCAAAGTTCGAATTCCCTTCGCTCCTCCGTTTCCCCTCCAAATGTAGACGCAAACCGACGAAGCCTAGGCTCTTGATGATCGTCGACCCCATTTTGCTCTTTAACGGCGTCGGTAGCACTCTCTACTTCGATACGCAAACACTCCTCGTTACTGTCAGTGTTTTGGCCGCCATTGCTCTTTCTCTGTTCCTCGGCCTTAAGGTTTCATTTCCTGCTTACTTTCTTTCTTTTCCTTCAATTCCGGGTTTTTTTTCATATAATTTTTCTTTTTTTCTTATTTGTTAAATGCCATTGTGTGTTAAAGTTGATACTTCTTTTGGGTAATGAGTGATGGGGTTTTGCAGGGGGATCCGGTGCCTTGTGAGCGTTGTGGTGGAAATGGTAATTATCTTTCTGCATTTGGGCTTCATTATGGGTGTGCTTTTGTGTTGAATTTTATGGAAGTTATTGAGGCTTTATGCCTAGTATATGAGGAATATGTTAAAATATTAACAGTGAGGATATCACAATTCACATGTTTAGAAACATTTACTTGATTTGAATAACTGTAGTTAAAAGGGGGATTAATGATTGCTTTGACTGAGAATACTTGGGGTCTGCTTGATTGAGCATTTTGAAAGTGTAATGGAGGAAAATAGAGTGAGATCAATAATTTTGAACCGAAGTTATGATCAGAGTTGAAAAGATAATATTTTGTTTTCCACATTCTCATATTTTTGTCATGCCAGTCAAATGTATGGTGTTTTTCATGTTAAAATCTTCACCTCCCATTTTCCACCTATTCAACCAACCAGGCCTTTATTAGGGGCATTTGGCTCAAGTTTAAAATAGTATTCCCAATAATAACATGCCCAAGAATTGTATTCCCATAGGGGGAGTGAGTATCAAGTGCAGTGTGAACTTTGTTTGTTTACTAAAGAAATTAAAAGAAAACCTTGCATGAATAGATGATGATCAATCAGTGTGACCTGTATAAGTTTGTGGATACAATATCGTGTTCGAATTTCAGCTTGATGACATGTGGCATTGGATTTTCCAGCCACTATAAGTATGAAGTAGAATATAAAGCTTCAAGGAATTGTTTTTAGATTAAGATGGTGTTTCATTGTGGCCAACTTGTTTTCCTTACCCCTTTCCATCTTTGCTCTCTTCTTTCAACAAGTCACTGGACTGGAGAAAGAAGGTCTCATACCTGTTTTAGTGATGGTTATGAATGAGCAATGGCGGAGTCAAAATCAATTATTTATATGACAAAAAAAAAATGTGCTTACAACTAAAGATTTATGTAGATTTTGAAGGGAAGCGAGCATTAGATATATGACCAAAAAATTAGAATAATGCTCACTTCTAAAGGTTTATATATATTTGAAGGGGAGCGAAATCCCCGCCATCCCCTCCCCGTCCCTCCACCACTGTAAATGAGAATTTTACTTTCTATGCCCTTGGCCTCTCAATGCTTTTATTATTCTGGGGCCCTGTTTGTCTATTAATCAAAAGGATTTCTGCAAGTTGGCATGTGTTATGATTTGTATATGAAGTAAAGAGGTTACTTGTATTAGTATTATTGACAAAAGTTATAATTTTAAATACCATTGTTGACAAGCAGGTGGGACAAAATGTATTTTTTGCAACAATGGCAAGATGAAGCAAGATATGGGGTTAATTGACTGTAAAGTATGCAAGGGTTCAGGTATCTCTTTCTGTTATCGTGTGCATTAAAAAAATATATTTTACTATGATTGCTTTGTACATCTAACAAAATTGCTTTTATTTTCTATTCTTTAACTAACATGAATCATTTTGGGCTTTTTGACCCTTATAACCTTTTATTAATAATTAATTACCAAATTGACCCTCATTATAAACTATTTCAAAAATTTAACCTCCCAACAAACATAACACCGATCTGCCCCTGTTTGACCGTTGACCACCAAGCCTACCCGGGTACACCCCTCCCTACCCGGGTATTTTTTGAAATTTTTTGTCTACCCGGGTAGGGAGGGGTGTACCCGGGTAGAGTTCTTCAATCTGGGAAAATGTTTGAATTATTTACCCGGGTAGGGAGGGGTATACCCGGGTAAATCTCTGTCAAAAACCCCAAAATGAAATAAAACTCAAGAGACTAAAATGAAATCCCATTAAACTCAAGAGACTGCTACATAACAACTCCTATAGCACTTGTAAGTTTACTTACATTAACAGTCATCACCAGGAATTCTAACAGAACTCGGAAACTGACACCAGGCCTTGGATGCAAAATGAAGCAGGAGGAGGCAGAATAATGCATGGCCTCTGTCGAATAGGTTCAGAAATTCACACATCCAATGACAAGAAGCGATACCTGTTCAAAAACTGCAACAAACTAGATTAGGAAAAAATTGTATGAGGAACAAGTACAAGAGCAGTAAAGTTGAAAGGTACCCTTTTCTCAGAAGCATTCATTCAAAACCAAACTTGCAAAGAAATCAAAAAAAAGTTTAGAACTTTCAACCAACCCAAGATTTGAAAAAACATAGCAAATGGTAGGTGACAATACCGTGGGAAGATGGGATAAAAAAATTAACATAAGATGAAGATAAGGAGGAGAAACCGATTTTGTAAATTGTATGTCTGTTGGCTGCTGCAGAGATCTAGGAGGGGTTTTGGGGTTTCTGGTGGAGATTTACCCGGGTACACCCCTATGTACCCGGGTAAATAATTCAACTATTTTTCCAGATTGAAGAACTCTACCCGGGTACACCCCTCCCTACCCGGGTAGGCAAAAATTTCAAAAAATACCCGGGTAGGGAGGGGAGTACCCGGGTAGACTTGGTGGTCAACGGTCAAACAGGGGCAGATTGGTGTTATGTTTGTTGGAGAGGTTAAATTTTTGAAATAGTTTATAATGAAGGTCAATTTGGTAATTAATTATTAATAAAAGGTTATAAAGGTAAAAAAGCCAATCATTTTGGGCTTCCTTTTACCACCTTTAAGAATGTGTTTATATATATATATATATATATATATATATATATATATGAGTTTGATTTTCTCGTGTTGAATGATAATTGAGTTCTCATGTTGTGATCTTTCGATTTGTGTGCAAAGTTTTTTTTTTTTAATAAATGTGAAACCCACCACTAGTTGAGTCACAACATGAGAATTGAATTCTCATGCAACATGAGAAAATATTTTTTCATATATATATATATATATATATATATATATATATATATATATTATACTTTGTTTTTCTTTCAAGAATAGCATATCCAAGGCCTTTACAGTTCTTTCTGTGAATACCCGTGTTTAATTTTCCATTTATAGGATTAATACTCTGCAAGAAATGTGGAGGTTCTGGCTATTCCCGAAGGCTATGAGCTGTGAATTTCCTTTTGTGTCTGGAAACCATATGTTCTCAAATCTGTAAGATCTTGTAACAATTTTATTTTTCATAGTTTCTTTTTCTATGATGTTACTAAGCTTCGCGTTAATGTCTTTGCTAATTGCTATTGCATAAATTGAAGCATTAAATGAGTCAAATTTTGATCTTCTTACAAAATTTATCATATAAAGTTTGTAGCAATCTTTTCATGGAAAAAAAAATGTTTATATTTTCTTCCTAAATATATCACCGGAGTCAGGAATATGTAAAAAAAAATTTCCTGGTGATTTATTTTTATCATGTAATGTAACTGTTTTATTGTTCGCGTGCTATCTACATTTTGAGGCTAAATTATGGGGTTAAAACGTGTAATATCAATATGTTTATTTATGTAATATAACTATAATGTAAATTATTTTTAAAGTGTAAATATGAATATGTTCTTAAAGTTTTATTAATTTCACGCTTAGAATTAGTTTTATTTTTCGGGGAAAAAAAGTTGATTTTTTTTTATTTCTTTTAAAATCTAGATTAGGCTAACCCAATAACCAACCAAAGAAACTGTGATACTTTATAACACCATCTCCCAATTCCCTAACGTGATTTTCACTCCGAAACTGACATACTATTGCGTAGTGTCGAGCGTAACTTGTCATTAGCAACTTTATTATGGAGCAAATATAATTAACAACTCTTTTATCATAAATTAATTGAGGTTTGATGATTGATAAATCCATATGAAAAGATTGTAAGAAAAGATAAATAAATAAAATAACAAATAAATAGAATAAAATAACAAATTAAAAATTAAAAAAGAAAACTAAAAAAATAGAACAAAAATAAAAATAAGAGGAACAAGAAAATAATAATTTTAAGAGAAAAATGATTAAATAAAAAAAATTAGGAAAATATGGGGAAAAGGGACTAGAAGTAGTGGTGTCAAAACATGTTATGACACACGGGTTGACCCGCGACATGACACGAAAATTTGTGTTCGGGTTGATCCGTAAAAAAATTTGTGGTGTTCGTGTTGGGAAAAATGACTCACAAAAAATTTGTGTCTTGTCGTGTCAAATTCGTGTCGACTCGTATTTTTTATATATATATTATTATTATTTTTATTATTATTTTTTTTAGATTTTGACCTATTTTTTTTAATTTTTTGGTCAATTATTGTTTTAACCCTTATTTTGCATGTCATTTGTGTCGTGTCAATCCGCAAAAAAGTCGTGTCGTGTGGAAGATTTTGACATCGATCTATTTTAACACCCCTAACTAGGCTATTTGTAAAAAAATTCTATTATCAGGAGGTCTTTGCATTATATGCCCTTCACATTATATGCTCACACCATATCAATTTTTTATTTTTATTTTTTTATACCCACACGATATCAATTTATATTCTCTTTTTAGCCACTATTTTTTTTTTTTTTTTTTTTTGAATATCTTCATTTTTTATCTTATCTACCATTATATAACAAGATAATATCCTTATTTTTGCTACTCTCTTTTTATGCACATATTACTTATTTTTGCAACTCCATATAACATTGCATCATTCAACATGCTTTGATTACATGGTTTACACTCTTATCAATCTCTATGCTCTTTTGCAAAACAAATTTCCATATTCCAAACAAATACACAATTTTGATCTCCATCTATCGGAAGAGAAAATTCACACTTTATATACTCCATCTTGCTCCTAGTCATAAAAAAAAAGTGCTATTAAATTTGTAAAATAAAAGAAAATACGATAAATACTGTTAAAAATTGACATGAATACTGCTCTTATCTACCTCATCTCAAAAACTTCTTGCTTTTCACATTATATACAAATAAAAGTTAGGAACTCATTCAACAATGTTTTATAAGAGTCACTTGGCATAAGAGTCGGATAAATCAATAGAGCATTATGAACTTAACTATGCCACCAATTGTGACCTTAAAACTATCTAATACTTGTATTATGCTGCATTAACCTTGTACTCTCCATCAAATTCCAACTCACTCGGTCATTTACTTCAACTCTAATACCGGTGTGAAAATATTGGGCGAAGGAATCATGAGGATGATAATGAACCGCTATGTTTGCTAGGCAATGGTGTGTTTCTCCGCGACTGGCGTTTTGTTTGAACAAGAGCAGGCTCCTCCTCCCACTTTTCACTCATTACTTCACTGTCGGTGTCTTCATCACCCTTAAAGACTGGGTGGATATATGCATTTTGAAGGAACTCTTTCAAGTTAAAGTTTGGCTCTCGTGCACGCTCCAATGTGTCTTTTATCATTGCTTCCTGAAGTTCACAAGACAAGTCACAAGAGAATTACCATTACTTTGATCATGGCTGAACTAAGATGTCATGACCAAGAATAGGAGGAAAATGGATCAAAACAAAGGGTGTCCCCTAAAACATCCATTATTTTCTGTTACCATGGTTGATCAAAGCAATGAGAGAAAAAACAGCATGCCAATTGCAATATCAAGACTAACCTGTAATGGATGTCTAATAAAAGCAGGTTCATATCGTCCCTTGCAAAACAGATGGAACCATATGGTCAAAACTGGGAGAGTGATGAGCAATGGAGTTGAATTAGCAGCTTCTTTCGTACTCAATAATCCCATTAACAGCAGCTGTGAGATCACCAACGCAAATATAATACGCCCATGGACATCAGGCCAGAATGCAGCAGCACTCTCATACTCTTGGTTGTAGACATTTATAATCTGCCATTCGATTTGAGGCATTAGCATTAGATAAGACATACATACTTAAACTCCATTCACATATTAAGTAAATAAAAAGAATGAAGGGCACACTTAGTTCCCTTTCAGCTGTTGGAATTTTAGTAACCACACACCAAAATATTATTCAGACACAAAGGAAACTATACTATGCTTGCATTGAAGCTGCATTAGTTGCCCCCTTTTCTTCGCGTTATAATTTATGAAGGAAACTCTGTAGTTAAGCTAATGTGTGCATATGTGCATTCCGATCTAGTGATGTCAGTGTTAAATATAATTACACCATTCAAGAACATTTTATAGAACTGATTTTATCTATCCCACATTTTATATAACATATTGATATGATATGTCAAATTTGAGAATACATGTACATCAACCAGTATTAAATAGTTTGCAAGTAACATATTCAATGTTAATTTTAAGATATTGTGATGGAGTAAAAACCAATTTTGAATTATAGTTGGCTTTTTCTGCAGTTATTGCAGATAAGTTATCTGCAATAAGCCCAATACGATGTCGTTTTGGGCGAAAATCATGGTGTTTTTGTAATTTTTATTTATTTCAGGGTTATTATAGTCTTTATAATTATAATTTCTTAATATTTGAATCCCAAAATGATGTCGTTTTGGGAGTAAATGCAGATAACTTATCTGCAGTAACTCCAGAAATATTTTTCTGTTTGAATTAATATAAAATTTTATATAAACAATCTAGGTAATGTGGGTAAATTCTACATAAAAAAATTATTCGATTGTTTAAAATTGACTTTGCTTTAAATGATTATCAATTGGTCCTGTTTATCTACTTCATGCATTGCTTAACTTGCACTTTTATATAAAATAAATAGCCATTCTTAAAACTTCTTGTTATCACAAATGCATTGTCACTTCGTTTCCATGGTAAGTATGTAAAAACAGTGACTAAAAGCATCAAAACAGAAGACCTTTCATGAGCCAACTTTTACCTGATGACGGTAGACAACATATGCCAAACCAAAGAACACTATGATGTATGGAAGTAGAAATGGTGTGACCACAGCGTACACAAGGCCAAGTAAGAAATAAAGTTGTATTTGTGGTTCGCCTGTATTGAAACCTAAAGTCCCAGGATCCATTGCTTCTTCACGGTCCTTTTCAGTCTTCACTAACAAGAAATTTTTTAAGTGATAAAATATCAATGGCTTCAATCTTAAAATCTCAGCAGCACATCCAGCCCACCCATCTACCATTATGTAAGTTATGAAGAAAGTTGCTTTCATTGGAATTGAGATCCCAATTGTTTTTGGAATTCTGCATACATAGCAAATGTTAACATTATGAAGAAAACACAGTATAAATATCAATCAAGAAATGTAAGGAAAAAAATCACTTGAGATATGAGAATGCTAGTCACTAAATTTTTTTGGAATACAAGACATAATTTCTACTAACCTAATTGCTTGCATACATGAAAATTATAATGGAAAAATCCATTTTTTAAAATTTGTAATGTCTCCTCCTGTGTTTGAAGGTGCATAACAATTTCAATAGCGAGGACTTACTCATTTGCAGACTGGTGGATAAATTTATCAAGTTGTTGGAACGCAGTCCCAGTAATTATGCTCCCGAGAAATACATTAATGAACTGGAAGATATAATATCTTGTGGCTGATCTCCTTTCTAGAGAAGACAGGCTTATAATCCCTTCAAACTTGGACATTATCATCAATATTGTTGGAAGAAAAATGAGGAATATCTTCAAAGCAATCCCAGGAAGGAAACCTTGTATAAAAGACTTTATGAATTTTCTGCAAAAAATAAGTTGAAGCATAAGACATTACCGTGGACAACTTTGAGGTATCGAAGAGCCATACAATAGACTTATAAGCAACAATTTGTTTTTCCATCGAACTGTGTCAGTGCAAGACATAGATGATAGAACTTCAAACATATTCTGGGCTGTAATCAAACTAGGTTGGAATCATAAAAATAGCAAAAAGTCAACCAACAAACGAATGTATGTATTAACCAAAAAAAGAAGAAAAAGAAGATGATATTGAAAAAATAAATAACGCTTACATTTCAATAAAGGACTTTAGGAAAGGTGCTGCTTTTTCAATGTCTTCAATGTTAGCAAGTGATTGTACCAATGCAATGGGAATCATGAAAAAGAATGTCAGAAAGAAGAAAGCAACAGCAATTATAAGCCTCCTTATTGTGAGTGAAACATATGGTATTGCCATGTTATCCCAATACACATCACGAGGTTCTGGAGCCCACTCAGTCAACCATGTAGTTGGATTTCTGGATTGTTGAGTTTGTGCACAAACAGCAGCACCCCAACGAGTTCGGAAGGAAACAAAAGCTGCTGGCATTACAGATTTAGAATTCTTCATGACCTTAACTCTCTCCAATTCTATCTGAAAGCTTACAGAAACATAAATTAAATCAAATACCTTTTTTTTTTTTGAAAATAATGAATAGTTCAATGATTTCTTCTAGTAAAATTATGCAAGAAAAATATTTAATAGAAAAACGGGCAGTGATGAACATATGCACAAATTTGAATCTCAAATATGAGGATAGGTAGGTCGCACTGATATCACAGAAGAAACATATAACTGACAAGACCTATTGTTTTGTTTTGGGAACAAGAATACCATTTTAGATAAGTATGCAAGAACTATTGTAAAATAAGCATAGAAGGCACTGCTTACTTCTTTTGATAGTCTCTCGACTTCAGCAGTATAGAATTCAATCGCATCCACTTTACTACCACAAAGACCTTTTTTTTTTTTTGAAAATAATGAATAGTTCAATGATTTCTTCTAGTAAAATTATGCAAGAAAAATATTTAATAGAAAAACGGGCAGTGATGAACATATGCACAAATTTGAATCTCAAATATGAGGATAGGTAGGTCGCACTGATATCACAGAAGAAACATATAACTGACAAGACCTATTGTTTTGTTTTGGGAACAAGAATACCATTTTAGATAAGTATGCAAGAACTATTGTAAAATAAGCATAGAAGGCACTGCTTACTTCTTTTGATAGTCTCTCGACTTCAGCAGTATAGAATTCAATCGCATCCACTTTACTACCACAAAGACCTAAAAAACCAGTCTGCAAGCACAATGTTAACCACTGGAATTACATGGTGCAAGAGAACATAGAAAGTAAATACCTTAAAATATATGGCACCAGCTTATGCTGGAGAGAAAAAAGAAATGGAAGATAATGCAAGAGAAGTGGAAGATAATTTGGAGTTCACACAAACCGGATTACAGAAATTGGCGTACCTTTTTATATGGCCTTGTAGATTGATTTCTAGAATATTTAAGTTCATAGTAGTCAAGCCAATTCTGCTTTTTCTTCTTCTTAGCAACTAGACTAGAAAGTTTCTTTGCATCGTAGACAACCTGCAAAAATATCTTTTAAAGTAAGGGGGAAAAGAAAACAACTTGATAGGATAAAACACAATAAACAGGCTACTAGAATTTATGCTAGGTGATAAAAGGGTTTGTATTGCAGTATCATTATAACAACAAAATCAAATGAAGGGTATGGTAAGGACAATGAAAAATTAGGAGAATTCCGTCAAAGTTTCAATTTAACGTAGAAGTTTCCATTTTGTTTCCAGAAAATGGCTATAATGTGATAAAAGGTGGTTTTTCAGTGATAATAATTGGGTCATTCTGAAATTAAATATTGGAAGGAACCATAATAGGATCCTTTTGCTTTGTAAAAGTGGTAAGGAGCTGAGCTGATTTTTTTCGGAAAAACAAACTTGTATGATGTTTTATTTAATAACGAGAGATCATCCCATTGAACTCAAGGTCTGTCCTAGCTTAATCTATTTCAGCAATGCACTGAACATAAATCTCTTAAGAGGGCCATATAGACTTGATCATGCTATACAAAGATTAAAGTCGAAAAAAGAAGTTTCACATCAAACTTTCTGCTCAATCTATAATCAATAATTAATAGAAAAACCAGAACGAGAGAAGGAAAGAGCTCGTCAAACATAATACGAACAACTATGTTGCACTGAAATTTACCCCAACTTATTGGAAAACAACACAACCACACCCAAACTTGAATATTTGTACCAGCTTTATCTTCTCTTTAATTTTCTCCTCATACTAGGCAAGAACTAGCCATTTGAACATCAGCAAAAATGAATATGAATATGAAGGCACAACAGGTAAACTTTATTATTTTGATACATAACCAAATAGTTCAAATTGCACAACCATATTACAAGCTCCAAAAAAGAGAGACCTAATTAGGCGTGTGCGGTTGTGAGAAAAAAGGGTCAGACCTGATGTGTGAGATAGTTATCTGGATGGTTGACCAAAAAGAAATGTTCCACTAGCTCATTGACTGATTCATCAGGATCAGGCGGTACATTCCTAACAAGTACCTGTGCAAATGTAAAGTAATTACTTGAAGAAGGTACATGAGAGAACAAATGAAAAAGCAAAGTTATTTCAGAGTACTGTGACTTTGGTACAACAGATAGTTGCATATATCCAGACAGAACAAATATTAGCAAACATTGATGCTTGAAAAATTAAAATTAAAAAGAAAATTAATGAATACTCCTACAAATCACTATTAGACTATATTTAAAGTTTAAACACGATATTTACCTAGCTTTTATGGAGTTCAGAAGATTTTATTCCCAAAATATAGACCAAGATGTTTATGATAAGAGGGGAGGAAGTACTATGAAGTTCACTTCCTTTTATACTGTGATAAGCAGTAAGGACAGAGGACAGAGTTTATTATCACGAAGTTGTTCCTTTATATTATTTAAGGAAGTAAGGTGCAAATGGATCATTACTTGAATCAAAAGAATACACCTTTAAAGTCAGATCTTAGGAGTTAGAAGGAGTTTAACAATCTTAGGATCTATCACGGAAGCAGTGCTACTATGATTATGAACCTATCATATTTGTCAGAGTGATAAAACTTGTTCTTACTGTAAATTGATCAGGACGGCGTCGTTCTGATGCAAGAAAATGCAATCTCATTGTTGCAACTATCTGATACTCCCTTTTCAAGATATAACATGTCCAGAAGGTGAAAACGTAAGCCATTGCCAAATGAGTCCAAAATCTGCAATACATGTAACAAGTTATTGGAAGATAATCATCCTTGTACGAAAAAATTGGCAGTTACTTCAGAAAGGGTTAAATTGTTTCAAATTGATTAAGAAGATTCGAATGGAATTGCATAGAGATGTCATGCTAATTAATACATACACATCAACAAGGACAAAACAAAAGTATGAATGTATGTAATTTGAATTATTCTTTTAAATAAAGAAACACACAGTAGAAAGTTCATGTTAAATGATAATATATAAACAGCCGAAAAAAGGCATAAAACTAAAAAATAATAATCCTACCAATTGAAAAGTTTGCATACCTATTTGATCCTGTTGGAATGTTTGAAATTGAAAGCTTATCTATGCTAGTATAAGCCACATTTGAACGCTCCAAGGTATGATTGGTCCAATTGACAGGAACCATGACAGAAAATGCTAGGAAAGCAATGGGGACAAATATTTTCAGCCTGCACTTCAATTGGGTCAGAGGATGCAGTTAGTCAAAAGGACAGACATGATAAAAGTAAAATTGGAGCTAAAAAAATGGATATTTCTGAATAAGGAGCTCCTGTTGGAACAATGTAGTATGAAGGAAACAAAAACTCGTGGTAAATACTTTATGTGGAGTTCCTGCTCTAGAATTCTCCAAAAACATAAGCAGAGATATGGTTATTTGGAAAATTTAAATCATAAGCCCTGGGACGGTATGTACTTATTAATAAATTAAGCCTGGCAAGTTTCACATTCTTATTATTTCGAAAAGCTGCAACTAAAAAGTAACAACAAATTAAGAAAACAATATCAACATCAAAAACACCTTTATCCCAAACTAGTTGGGAACAAATTGACAAATACTGATAATTATTTTTACGAATTGAAAAATATTATCTCACCAGAAAAAACACAGATAATTTACAATGAAAATGATTAGAGATGAGTGTCCCAAACTGAGTGCATAGTTATTAGATTATAATACATCTATGCAGAAAGTGTTTATATCACCCTTGCATAGATCCATAAGTAATCTAATAGAATGAAGAGTGGGAATTTTTGCTGTATAAATTAGTTGTGGATGTCTCATTTCTAGTTTACAAAACAAGGTAACTTCAAATAATGGTCGAGGTTTGGACGTCTGTACATTTTTTTTACACATATGAACTTCATTGCAGCAATGTTGCATAGGACTAACAGTTAAGACAGATCTCCTAGTGATTAAAATCCTCCAACATACTGCCTTCTTCATTTGTTGACTTTTATTAACATGTGAAGGCAAAAACCTGATTGCATTCACTGGCCTTAGGCCAATAACAGTCAGTTCTTAATGCAAACTCTATAATTTCTCTTGTGATGCCTAAAATCAATATCCATTAACATGCTTAAGTCTATCAAGACAATGTCAAAAGAAAGAAAACACAAAGAGTACTGTCTAAACATCAATGCCTTTCCAAATTAATGTTTATGTAACCAAGTTGCCAAACGACTCAAACATACAAGTTCAAAAAAATAATAATAATAATATCAGATAGAGCTCTATGGATATGCTGCAAGGAATGATTTATCAGGACATACCCAAGCAAGTAGATCCTCAAGTAAACAGCAGAATCCAAGCCTGCATGGTCAATTAGTTCAGGTTCTGGCATTTGCAAAGCTGCAGGCATCCAGTTCAAGAACCTTATATATGACTTGAAGTCTATATTGACAAACTTGCTCACAAACGCCCCTCCTTGCAATGGACTGCATCTCAAACCCTTCAGATACCATTTTGGAAAATACACCCTATCATTTATAGGTTGGATACGAAGAATGGCAAATGCCAGTAAGAAAGCAAAAGCAGTAAGAATGTTTATTGCTGCTGCAAGTCCTATATCACCAAGCGAAGCCATATGAATATGTCAACTTCTAAACAATAAGCTACTCCCTGCAAAATATACAAAAAATAAGCATGATGTCACAAACAATACCGTTTCATTTATAAGATTTGAATTTCAATTACAATCTCCTTTTGCAACAGTGATAGGTAGAGGACAAAACAACTACAGACAAAAGAGGTTTAACGTCCGATTTCAGAGCTGATGTAAATTTTTACTTTAGGCACGTTTGCTAGCCGGTATTTTTCAGGATTCTAAACTGAATTTTTCTAAAAAAAATTTATCGTCTGTCAAACGCCCCCTTATATCCTTTTCTTATATCGAAAGAACATGTTTTTTCTGTTAGCCATGACCGGTTATGAATCTAAATCCCCAATCTCTCACAGAAAAACCAAAAATGAAAAAAAGAAGAAAAAAGCACACAGACACACGCAATCACAAGTCAACACTCAGCAAAAATCTACATTTGGAAACACAACAATGAAAAAAAAATGCAGAAACCTTCCATGGTTAAAATACATTTGATCCATTCCGTTGGGTATATTACCTTGTCTGCCACAACAGTTCTCAGCAGAGAAAGAGACACGTGTGAGAGAAAACGAACTGAAAAACCTAAAGGAAAAAGACAGAGTAGTACTTCAATCCAATTGAGATAGAAGATCACACTCGCAGAGTCGCAGTGTTAGTTTCAACGGACCAAAGAGAGAAAACCCAGAAGCCAAAAGGTCAGCAATCATCAAAAGTGACAAACTTTATGGACTTTCTTTTTCAAAAGGGTGAAAATAATTTCAATGTATAGAGAGATTTTAGTCGCCGGATGTCTCAATCAGGTGAGGTAGGATTTACGCCTACTCAGACACCGCAATGTCCGCCATTTGGTTTATATTATAAATTTTGCCTGAAAAGGAATGAAAGTGATAGAAAATTAATATTAATAATAATAATAAAAATCATTTAACGAGAAAAATGGAGTGTTTGAACAGTAAAGTGAATTTGGATAATTTCATGTTGCTTAAAAAAATAAAAGTTAATATAATTTGTATGAACTCATTTAAAAAGACAAAAACTCTCTCCGCACCTATTTTCTCTGTCCAGCATGCTCGCTCAAACACGAAGGTCCTTTAACAGTCGTGTCATTAGTAAGTAATTATAATATATTTTAAACTAAAAAAAATAAATTAATGAATAGTTAGTGCGAAAAAGTTTTAAATTGCCGACGACAAGTTGTGATTGGTCGGCAGCATGTGAAACGACGAGGTAGAGAGAAAGGAAACACTGCTTTTGTCGTTTCTTTTCTTCCTAACGGCTACTTTGTTATTCTTTATTTATTTTTTTAAACGAACAGATCATGACAACGGTTAAAGCCTTAGCCAGCCAAACAGGGTGGGATTCCCTTATAAAAAAAAAAAAAAAAAAAAAAATAATAACATAATTAAATAATGGAATTTATTATTCTTACGTTACACGAGATAAAATTTATTTTCTACACACATAAATTCAATATGATCTCACTTTATTTTTTTTTCTCTCATCTGAAAGTGGATCCCGCCTACACAAATGAGTCTATAGGAGATAATACTTATCTTCTACTACATGAGAAAATTATTACGGAAAATAATTATCTCATTTTACATGAGATAATTATTTCATGCACTAGATACAAATTGGACGTGGGATTCACTTTAATTTTTTTTTTTCCTTTATTCTCTCTCCTCTCTCTTCCGTATGTGAGTGTAGAAGATTGTTGTTCTCTCGTGTCAAATGAGAAAAACAATCCCCTTTTTGTATTTATTGTAGAAATCTTTTCTCTGCCATAGAGATAAATCATACTCTAATGAGAGAGAAAAAAATTACGAGAGAAAAATGAATATTTATGTATGTGTTATGGTGAAAATTTTTACGGTAAATACAGAAATCATTTTTCTTATTTTTTTTTGTTGCAAAGAGATTTTGTTTTTTGTTTTTTTTGTTTGGACACTTGACACAATCAAGGATTTCGGCGGCAGTGGACGACTGGAAGTATCGCTTGATAGCTGAATAAGCGTTACCGACAGAAATATAAAAACTCTTTATAGTCGTCGTTTCTGAACACACAGACCCACGTGGTATAACGCTACAACGCATAAATGAATGAACGTTTCCTTTTTTATTTTTTAATAAAAGATAAGTTTTTAATAAATGTGTTTTAATGTTCAATGGTCAAGTGGATGTTTAGGGATAGACGTTAAATGAATACGGATTTAATATTGATTTAATGATGATGATTGACCCTAAAACACTATAATATCAGAGTGGTTTCCTTAATTAAATGAATTTAATTACAATAACTATTCATAATAACTATTTGTGTAATGATTTTTGGACACACAACTTAACAAAAATGTAAAAAAAAAAAAAAAAATACTCTTATAGTTATTTCTGTTATTATTATATCAAAATCAAATCAATAATAAAAAAATAATATCACTAAAGAATTGATTTAATATAAAAATAAATATTATAATAGGTTGTAAGGAATATTTATGAATTATAAGGAATATTTATGACATTGACAATTATTTTTATTTTTTTTAAATGCTCTTTTAAAAAAAGTAACATTTTTTAAATATAAAATAAATTAATTAAAATATACCATTATTGAAGTTACGTGTAGTTGGAGTTGATAAAAAATAAAATAACACTGCATCATCTTAATATTTCGACTTTTAAAAGTTATTTATGCATCAAATTTTTTAATTTATTTATTACGTTTATTCCGTATCTTGTTTCATAAAGTTAGAAATTATCATTACTTTCCACAGAAGCAAAATCGATGATTTCATATTTTATGAATGAGATTTCATTTATTTTTCTCAACATACCCTCATTTTTTTAATATAACGACATTTATTATCATCCATTAACTTTATATTTTTTCCTTGTAATTAATTTTAATACTTATGTAAAATTTAAAAGAATAATAATTAAGTAAATATATGAAAATATAAATTTTTTAATACAATTCTAAAACGCTGCTACTATTCAACTGAAAAGAAATAATTCCCTTAGGTCGTCCACGTGATTACCATAGTCAAATAGGGAGACCTCAGTCCAGCTCCCCACCAATGAATGTTGGTGACTTCTGTTCCAACTGAACTGGGGACAGTCAGGTGCACCCATTGGACCCGAGGGACCAGGGTATAGTCCGGTCCGTCCATTTTTCCCGGTCCAATGTTCTACACACAAGAAGGACTGCACTAAAACTAAAAAAAAAAGAAACCATTAAAAAAAAATTTATGCTAAATTATATCCTTTGCAGTAGTTTATGTTTGACGGCTGTCTATCTCGTACAGTGTCTCCGATCACAAACCGCTATTCTTTCCACCCCAGAATTTGTCATAACTTTCTTCGTACAGGTTTTTTTTTAATTGTTGTTTATCGAATTCTACTTTCGAAAGGAAAAAATAGTATGTATAAGAAATGTATAGAGCATTTCTATCTAATATATTGTATTCACGGTACTTTCTTCTCTCAAATAAAACAAATTCCATGTACCAATTTTTTTTAAAAAAATTAACAACATTTTGTTATTAAAATATAAATAATGAATTCCAATAAAAGTTATCTTGTATTTTTATTTTTATTTTTATTTTTTATTTTTTCTAATAAGAGAAATTTATACATTCAAGCCAAATTTAGTTATATTCTGCATTAATTTCACATACTAAATAAGTGAGTGTTTAAAAATGTTTTTTTGGTTGTTTTTTAAGAAAGTTATTTTATACCCAAAGCTGTCGGTATAAACTGAGGGTAATAATTCGGTTATATTTTTATTTTATCCCATTCCTATTATATTATATGAAGTCATCGTTTCATATATTAAATATAAATATAAATTTTATGTTTTTATTCAACAAAAATTTAACCTTTTATTATTATTTTAGAAAGACTAGTGCTATATCAGACGAATTACATTTAATAAAAAGATTATGAATCACACCACAATAGTAAAATCATATCACACCCGACACATAGAGAAGTTCAAAGATGTTCTATATCAGTAAAAGATTTGATTTAATAATGTATCATATCATATAAATGAATCGAAATTATGCTAAAGAACTGGAGGGTTCTGTTTCCTAAACTAACAGATTTGAATATGCAGACATGAAATGAGAAACTGATATGACAGTGATGATTATATTTATTTAAATAAATAAAAATTAAACATATAATCTAATATAACTCACTCAAATCTTTCATTACTAGACCAAATCCAGTGGCTCATTGATAATTATGAACATTAATTCATTCAACACAGAAAAGTTGAACACAACAAGAGGGACCCATTTCCAACGTACTTGTCCGGTTGTCCCTTTCTCCCTTTAAGAGTGCGAGATCCATTTCTGGCCTACAAAATCTCGTGCATGAGTTTTCGATATTATTGGAGTAGGTCCTTCGCTAAAAATGAGAATAAATTATGACTTATTAATTATAAAGGAATGTATATAATAAATTTAAATATGTGATTTTTTTTTAATTTTAATAAGCGATACAATGAATCGAAGTATTACGAAAATATTAATTATTTTAGTTAATAAAAATTTAAAAGTAGATTTTTTTGTGTGGTTCAATTAAAAGTAGTTTTTATCCATAAATACTTTTGTTAATTTTGTTTATTCAAAATTAATTTTATTAATTTAATATCTCAAATTTCAAATTCTTAAAAAACTCATCTCTCTCCATTTATTTCATAATAATGGTTGGGTGGTCGAGGAAATCATGGTAGCAAAGAATTACCATTAATACGTTAAACGACAATATTTCACAATAAGTGGATGCAACATTACATTAAAACCAAAACATTAAGGCGATGAATTTATGGGTACTTCAACTTTTTCAATTTTAATTAATACGAGACTTCATTATTCACAATTGCATTCTCAACATTCTTCTTATTGTGTGAGTTTCAAATCCACATTTTCTCCCCTCAAACGGAAGCTTTGTAAAATACTCATGGGCTACACCAAGTCTTG